GCCGGCGCCGCCCCCCCCCCCGGAGCCAGCCCGCACAGAAGGGGGCTCCATCCCGCGCAAAATTCCACTCAGAACCTGGGAGCAGGGCGGGAGGGGGAGTTATTGGCGAGAGAAAAAAGGAGGGAGAGGGAGAGAGAACCTGGAGCCCCCACAAGCAAGCCGTCCACTCGGCCGCCGACGCCCCGCCGCCACAGCCAAACGGTTTCAAATCCTTGCGGGCCGATGGGTCGCTGGTGTCCAGCATAACCGGGGGCGGGACTACCGAGCTCGCCTGTCCCGCCCCCTCGAGCAGCGGCTGGCAGTCAACGCGGTTGCCATGGCGACGCGCTGGACTCTGTCTATCACGGCCCCTCACATCCTAGGGGGCGGGAATTTCCGCCCTCCGGGGCGCAGTGGTCTTGCAAGGGGTGGAGACTTCCCACCGCGCTATTCCCCACCCTCCGGGGAAATGGTCACCCCAAGCCGCTCCGTTGCTGTGGTAACTGTCTGGTCCACTGCGCAGGCGCCGAGCTCGTGTTTTCTCCTGTCTGGCCCTTGGCGGTTTCCAGGCTTAATCTCCTGTGATCCCTGGACTAGAGTGTAGACGCTGCTGCTTCCGGGCTTCCAACTCAGTAGCCCGCGAACACTTTAGAGGCCGAGGAGAAAACAAGAAAAACTCCAGGGCGATGGAACTGCTGGACAAGGTTCACAGAAAAGCCTGTCGGTTGTTTGGACAGGCAGCACAAGTCCAAAGCAGGGAGCAGGTACCCTTGTTAGCTCACACTCCAGTCAGAGGTGAGGGGGCGAATTATTCAGGACAAGGAGCAGTTTATTTTCATTCGTTATTTAGAATCACCATAAGTCTGCAAACACTTTCCCCTGAAAGAGGTGAGCTGAAATTAAAGGCTTTCTGTCTACCACTCTCTACAGAGTCGGACCATGGGGGGTGGAGGGGTGTTTTATGTTTGTTCTTCCCAGGAAGTGCCATGGACCGCAGGGCAGTCTACACTGCTGTGTGGTGGTGTCCTTTGATCTTTTACGTTTCTGGAAGCTCTGAGCTGTGTGCTTTAAAATACCAACAAAAAACAAAGTTTAAATTCTAAGAATACTGCCTTAAATGAAATCCAGTGTGCCGCTGTTTTTCATCTAAGTTCACAACAGAATTCCTTAGGCAGAATCCTTGCGATACACTCAGTGTAGTGCCAAACCTAATCTAAGCACAGCTTGAAACACCTTTTCAATTTTTCCATAAGGAAAATAGAAGAATCGCTTGTTTGTAATTAGTAATTTTCGGCTTCCAGAAGGAGACCACACTCTTTCCAAGGTGCACTTTCAATCCGCCTCACTGGAGGTAAACACAAATAGCTCCTCATTGTTTCAGGGGCAAGTTGTGCTAAAGAAAAGAAAGAATAAAGAACGCTTTCAAGAATATTTGGTTTCCAAAGGCATGTGTGAACACAGTAAAACCCACATATGCAGGGATGTGACCACAGAATGTAAGACATGGAGCTTACTGATCAAAGGATACCGATTTCCAACTGGAATAAGAAATTCAAGAGTACTACCTGGCGACTATAGGTAATAACTGTGTATTGAATGTTTTTGAAGGACAACTTTTAAGTTATATTTATGTACAAGAAACTTAGCAGCATACAGTTAACCCAATTCAGTGTCGAGTTCTTTGACTTTTCCTTTTCCAGCTTGTCAATTCGAGGCATAGAGTTTGGACCCAGTACATTGCCACCCCAGTGGTGGCAGATGTCATTGTATCTGTCATTGTAATTGGTTCTGATAGCTTCCACCTGCTTAGCCAGAGCGTTTTTCTCTTCTGAGTTAATCTGAATGATGGCAATGGTGTTGCATGTATTCCTGTAGACCAGCCATCCATCCCAGCCTAGATGATCCTGTCTTGTGACACAAGTCGGGCACGAAGCCACCAGGTCAATGGAGTCTACACTGTGTGTAATCAGCAAGAGCACCACTTTCTTATTCTCTATTGAGGTAGTGACCAGGTGGACCCTTCTCAAGGGAGGGTGGAGCCTGCTCGAGGGAAAGTGGTCTCTAAGTGGGGACACCTCTTTGCCAACAGCTTTCTTCTCTGTACAGCCAGCAGCCTTATCTACTTTTGGGCAAGTGTAAGCAGATGGTGGCTGTGTGACGGTCCAGGGTCTGTGTGAAGTGGTCAATCGAAAGAGGTACTTTAAGCTACTTATAGACGTGGTTCTTTGCTGTTACAGCAGATGGAGCAGGGCCATTTGACAAAGTGGGTGAGGTCTCTTTTGGTCTGAGTGGCTTGCCCAATGCAGAAGTTCTTGGGCCTTTTCTCACAGGATTTACCACTGGTTTTTTGTTTTGTTTTGGTTTGGTTTTGGGGTTTTTTTTTTTTTTTTTGGCTTCCTGCTTCTTCATGATGGAGGGACAGTGACCATCTTCTTCCCCTTGGCCTTTCTTACTTTGGGCATCTTCTTTTGCTGGAGGAAAGAGTGTACATTGTATTCTTGAAAATTCCACTCAAGGTATACTACTGTAGTGTTCGCCTTATAAAATGGATAAGTACCTGAAGTAATGGATATGTTAATTTGCTCAAGTTAACCAGTCCATGTTGCATGCATATCTCAAAACATTGTGTGATACCAATAAATGAATGTGATTTTTAGACAATAAAACACAAAAATACAAGAGGAGCAGAGATGGTGTAGTAGGTAAGTGAATGCTTGCATGTGCATGAGGACCAGAGTTCAGATCCCCCGCCAGGTGGGTGTGGTTCCCACCTATAATTCCAGCACTCAGAAGGCAGAGACAGTATCCCCATAGCAAAATTATAGAATTTTTATAGATGAGCTCTGGCTTCAAATGAGACAAAGTGGTGAGTGATCAAGGAAGACTCCTGACATCAACCTCAAACACACACACACACACACACACACACACACACACACACACAAACACACACCTGTGCACCCTCCCCACACACACACACAAAGCAAACATGCCTACATACATGCAGTCACATCACATACATATATTTTTCAAGGGGCAAGAGGAAAAATGTTATTCGGTCAAGTTCAGAGGAAATGAGGGTAGGAATTTTACTCCCTTAATATCTACCCTCTAATCTCTCCAAAAATAACTCTTGGAAAATATTAATGCAGAATTACGATAGCACATTTTGCTTTTCTTTAATGTTTTTCTTCAATGTGAATTTGTCCAGTCATTTGAAAGACTGTGAGTAACAAACACACTGAAAAATACATGACACAAAAAAACAAAAGTTACTGACTTGGAATCACTGCAGTAGATTATCAATTATTTCAGTTCCTAGTAAAGAATAAGGATTAGCATAAACAGAAATGGAGCTTTATTTACTAAGCTAAGAATTTTCATTTGCATACTTCTTCAGATTTTGTATCCATGCTATTGTAGGTAAATTATGAAATACTGAGATCTTTAAAGTAGAAAATTAACACAATCTTACTATTAAAAAGTAACCAGGATTGGGACTGGAACAGTGGTGGCACACACCTTTAATCCAAGCACTTGAGAAGGAAAGGCAGGCAGATCTCTGTGAGTTCAAGACCAGCCAGGTATATGGAGCAAGTTCCAGGACAGCTGGGGCTACACATAGAGATCCTGTCTTGAAAAACCAAAAACGCCAAAAATAAAAACCAGGATTAACATATGTCACATACACATATGTTCAAATCTTCTATCTATGTATTATACCACCATCATTTTGAACATGGCTTTATTATCCCACCAAATGGAAATAACATAATTTGCTTAATTTTCTCCTGTAGCTACTAATTCTGGGTCTCACAATACTTTTGTAATAAAAGTCTTTATTAAAGTCTCAGTTACTGAGTTACCTCCATATGGGAGACTTATTTCATGTATGTTTGTGTGCACATATGCAGTATGTGTGGAGGCCAAAGGTCAATGACGGGTGTCTTCCTCAGTCACTGTCCATCTGAGGTTTTGAGACGGTCTCTCACTGAACCTGGAACCTGCAGATTTGACAAGATTGTCTGTCAGCCAGTCCCAAAGTGCAGTCTACTACTGCCCACCCCCACCTACCCGCAGTACTGGGGTTATGATCTCCTGCACGTTACAACTTTTTGGATCTATGCAAATTATATCTTTAAAATTTTGCATGACTCTTAAATTTGCATGTTCTACTCTTTAAAAATGTTAGTGTTTCTTAGTAGCCCTTTTTAGTCTTCCATAGTAGAATCTCTTTTGCTCTTTGTCATTTTTGAGGAATTTGATATGAGATAGTGTCGTGGTTTGAATGAGTGTAGCCCCATAGGCGCATATATTTGAATGGGTGTTTCCCAGTTGGTGAAGTATTGGGAAGAATTAGGAGGTGTGTCCTTGTTGGAGGAGGTGTGCCACTGTCCAGCCTCTCTCTGCCTCCTGCCTGTGGATCAGAATTTAAAGCTCTCAGCACCAGGGGTGCCACCATGCTCTCCAAAATAATGATGATGAACTAACCTTCTAAAACTGTAAGCAAGCCCCAAATTAAACGCTGTCTTTATAAGACTCACATTGGTCATGTTGTCTCTTCATAGCAATAAAATAATAGATAGATAGATTGACAAAAATCTTTCACATTTATAAAAGAATTAACTATAATGGCTCTGTGCACTTTTGTGTAAAGCTGATAGTTTGTGCAATAAAATTTTAGTCACGATTTACTTTTTACTTTTATCATCTCTCTCTCTCTCTCTCTCTCTCTCTCTCTCTCTCTGTGTGTGTGTGTGTGTGTGTGTGTGTGTGTGTGTGTGTGTGTGTGTGTGTGTGTGTGTGTGTGTTTACATGCATGTGCACCATGGCAGTCAGAGAACAACTTAAGGGAGTTCCTTGGTCCAAAGGGTCAAACTCAGGTCATTAGGCTTGGCAGCAAGCATCTTTGTCCACTGAGACATCTTGCTTATTCCACCATTTTCTATTATTAAATTATCATTAGAATGAAATCTTGAATGACTTAACTATCTAGATTAGAAGCAATTTGTAAATACTAAGAATCATTCCTCTGATGTCTTATATAAACATATTAGAGATAAATATCAGAATAGACCCATAACCAGTAAATTCCTTAAATTGGATGGGAAGTGACTCAGCACCTTCTATTTAGAGACCACAAAAGTATAAATTACACCACAAATCGATGCAGTTTAAAGAGAGCAGAGAGTAAATGGCATATTTTCACTTCTTCATTAATAAAAATTGAAAAGGTCACTGCCTTTAGTGCACTGACTCTGGGTTCCTTAATTTAAGCCAGAACTAAGCAATATTCACCATTCCGTTCCTGCTTCAGCTGTCCAACCCAGCTTCTTGGAGAAACTCATGCTAAGGGTTATTAACCAGAAAAACCTTGCTTCCCACCCACTCCCACTCAGCAGTCTATGTGTCATCCTGGCTAGTGTCAGAACAAAGGACAAACCAGTTAGCAGGGCCTTCCAGTACAATGACCTTTAGTGCCAACCCCCCACCCCCTGTGTGGCACTAGGCTATAAAAGCCCAGCTTTCCAGAACAGTTATTTTCAGGAAACCACTGAGGAAAATTTTCTGGCTTCCTTATGGAACAATTGGCAAGATGGAGATGGTGCATCTGGGAAATTGCCCAGCACCTGATACAAGGACACTTCTATTCCTAGTCTTTCCCAAGCCTTTTGTGAACATTTTGAGACCCAGTGCGATGGCTCGTCTTGGCTGCTAACTTGATTGTGTCAGCAGCCAGTGAGAAGCCATGCTGGTAGGCATGACTATAGAGCTTTTCATAACCCCAGTATTTGAGGCTGGAATACCCACCCTAAGTGTGGAGGGATGAAATTGCTTTTTCCCTGCTTGCCCTCATTCTCACTGGCAAGTTCACCTATCCTGTTGCTGAGACATTCCTTTGCCTGTATTAGAACCAACTTCTTCAGGAATCCAGTGTAGACTGAAGACCAGCAGTTCTCCACAAATCCTCTAGGACTCCAACACAGGATAGGGACTGCTGAGACATTCAGCCTCCTGGACTGAACAACTACCAAAGTCTTGGCCTTTCCATCATGAGACAGCCATTGTTAGACTAACCAGATACATCCTGTAAGCCAGTCTAATAAATCCATCATCTTCATCATCATCATTTTTGGAAAGAGATTTGTATGTATGCATATATATATATATATATATATATATATATATATATAT